GTGTACACAATGTCCTTATATAATAACAATAAGGTTTTTAATTGCTAATTGTTCGCGGTTATGTGGAAAATTGTTCAACTTCTTATATTGATGCTACATACACCCATAGTACAATAATCACATGTATTAACCAGAGCAATATGAGTAGAACCAATACGATGACCATGACAATAGATATTATAGTTTTGTATTTGTTATGCTAAAATCTATTATTATTAGTAACAAAAATCGTGTTCAATGACTTTTAAGGCATGTTAAAAAAACAAACAAATTTCAAGTAAGGGCACAATGTATTATTTTCAAAGTACCTAATAAAAATGTGAAAAACTTAACAAGTTTATTTTCATTATTTTCTTACATTTATTAATAAAAATATTTCAAAACATATTTTAATACACCTCAGAAATTCTAAAAAAAATTTGGTTGAAAATAAAAACTAACTATCAAAGAAGTTTTTATTTCAAATTAAACAACGTGAATATACACAGTTTTTAGAAAAGCTAATAAGCAATAAAATCTTCAAACAATCACATAATTATAAATTTTCTAAAGATCGGTTTTTTTTAAACACCCACTGTAATAGCTTGTAAAAAAAGAAAATATTTAAAATATTACTTTTAAGATATATCTATTGATATTATATAATATAATGTATTATTTTCCTTCTTATTGTAGTACTAGACTGTAATTAAAATAATTTATGATATGAAATATAAGTATATTATTACTACTAAAAAACTTATAACAACTAGTATATTACTATGGTCCTTTCTAGTTTAAAAAACATGTTAACTTATTATCGTAACTCTATTTAATTCAGAAAAAATTACTTAATTTTATACACTTTAGAGTCTAAAGTTTAGACCATACATTTTTTTAGAAAATTAATCGAGTACTACAAATATTACTTAATTTAAATAACTAATCCTTCTTTTATATGAACTCTATAAGTGTATATAAAATATATCTTATTGTTTTAACAAGGTGTTTAATGTTAAAAATGATTGTATTTATACTTAAAAGTAAACATCAATGTAACCATTGATATTCATAAAACTTCTATAAAAATGTATCTAATAAAATAATATTTAGGTAATTTATTTTCTATTACAAAAACACAACTTGTAAGAATAATATTTTTTTATAACAATTGGTCATATATTATCACATTTTAATGAAATCTATGTAAAATCACTAATATTTAGTTACATGTGAATATTATTATTCAATTTACATATAATTTAAAATATATATAATTGTACTTCACTAAGTTTTAATTTGATTATAATAAAGATTATAAACTATTTAAATGAATTAAGAAGTAGGTAACTACTAATAAAATCTGATTGATCAACAATTAATTACAAATACAATGACTATTTAAGCATTCGTTTATAATTAATCTAACTCACAATAATACTGTTAAACTTTTACAGACTATTAAACAAGTAATGTATGTTTTTATAGTTTTCTAAAAGTTTTTGCTATAATATTTGTCAAATTAGGAAAACTACCAGAACTTTTAACTTAACATAGTTTTACAACTTCTAATTCTCACTGATCTATACACTTATTATGTAATTTAATAATTCTCATGATATATATATTTTTTTTTAATACACCTAGCCAAATAACTAACTAACTGTAATTACGTCAAATACTAAGGAAATATCACAAATAAAGTATTTATATGAAACTATTTAATTTCCCTATTTCCTACACCTATGTTATAAGATTCTAAAACAGAGTATAAACTAATTATTAAACATAAAACTAAATAAAATATTGAATGATTTAAATGTCTTGAAAAATGTTTAAAAATCAACACGCTTGTGTACAAATTATATATTTATAATATTTTTTATTGATACTAAGAATTGCTAGTTAAAATCATCAAAAATATGATACATAGTATAAAAAAGTATTTTGTAATGGAGCATTGTTTTCAATACATTTAATATTATTTTGTATTCTTATTTCTTAGTACATGAAAAATTTAAAAAAAGTATTTTACCGTTAGTCGATTTGTGGTTAACCACATATAAGATCAATAACATCATATAAATAATAGCCAATCATGTCAACGAATTTCAATTAACTATTAAAAAAAAAAATAAGTCCTTTAAATGTACAGTTTGTTCGATAACACAACCAATTACTAGTTAATATTTTATTTACCTAACATGTATTTTCTTTAATAATAAAAATATATAAATATTGTATTCCAATATTTAAAATTTAGATTTAAATCAAAAGTAATCCTAATATGATTTTGAGTTTAATTTATCATAAGAAAAATAATTATGCTTATTAAATATTATTGTTTTTTCAAAAAATTATAAACGTATTCAAAATGTCTCTCTAAATTATCGAATTATTAAAATTCTGATTCTTATTATAAGAACTTGAAACAATTTATGAGTACATAATCATTAGAGCCATTATATACAACTTGTATTAAATTAAAGAAAAAACACGTTTTCCAGTCTGGAGATCAACGACTTTGAATAACGTATGAGTTACTACATTGATACGTAGTAACATACCTGCATATTTATCACGTAAGCTGGTATCTATACTAAAATATTTCATAATTTCTTCAAAATTCACTTTTATGAGTTATAAAATATAACAGTGGCCATGTAAAAACTTTTTTAACAATTATTAAATAGTTATTTTAAGTACGTTTTATATAGTATACCGATATAAAACAATATTTATAACTATAAATAATTACTCTTAGTACCTGATTATTATGATATTAATATACTTATAAATAAATTAATATTTGTTTTCATAGTAGATAAATCACCAAAAAAAAAAAAAAAAATGATATTTTGAATTTCAAAAATTTCTTTTGAAAATAATATGCAAGTATAGATAAAAAGATGTAAGAATACTAAAAACTAAATATTTTTTTTAACACAACTTTGATTTTTCAATTAAAATATTTCACATAATATTCTATTAGAATAGAACATTATTATAATAAAATAATATTTTAAATTCTGACTTTACCAAGAAATGTATAAGTTTTTCAATTAGTTTTGTACATGATGGCGTAAAAATGCACTCTAAAAGTTCCATAGAGTAACTTTTTGAATCGAAAATGACATCCAGTTCATACTTTATAAAAAAAGTCAGTATTCACAGTAGTTTTAAAATGAAAAATTGTAGGAAAGCTATAGTGATGTATGTCTTAATATCTTTTCCACTTTTAATGAAATCAACAAAATTTCAATTTTAATTTTGGTTAAAAACTTTAAATATTAGTGCCTTATCATCTTTACTCAAATAAATACATTGTTATTTGTACTTGTTATTTTTACCGAAGACTTGTAATAATTTTCAAATATATATATTTTATTTATACTTATACATCATTAGTTTATCCGAAAGCAAGGCGTAACAAATAAATTCTAAATACAAAACAATTTGGTATACTGTTTGTATTTTTTCATCCTTTACTTAAACATATCAACAAAATATTATTGAGAAGTTGGTTAAATTATTGTATGTTGATAAATATTATATAATAAATAATAATATTAAATCAAATTTTTTAGGATATTTCCTCAGTAAGAACTTAAAATTTTTTTAAAAAAAACTGTTTTTTCTCTCAAAAACCAATGTTCTGATTGTAGACAACTAATTTTCTGTTTGATTACAAAATATTGACCAATTTTAAACCCAAATCACAAAGGAATATATCACAGCAACACAAAGATCTAAAAGGTAGACATCTTATTTAAACGCAACAAAAAGACTTAATTTCACTTTGGTTGAACAATTAATACAAAAAATAATTATAGTATATACTCGTACTTAGTTTACAGGCACGAGGCGTGTAGGCTATAACCAACATTCATTAGAACGTGTGCAAAATATAATATACCGCACTGTGTTTAAATAAAATTGTAGTTTCAGAGCGTTTTATTTATCGTATAACTCTTTAGTCACAAACTTGAAACTTTACAAACACGATAAATTTTAATTTACCACGAAATTTCACATGATAACAAATCTTTTTTTTACCATCTACTCGTAGGATAAAAATAAAAATGAGACCGAAAATTGACTTTGAATAGTAAAACAAAATAAACTGAATTCATCGAGTGTGGATGAAAAACTAGTATTAAGTAAGTTATAATTTAAAATTTGATTAAATTAAATTAGTCTCAACAAATAAAAAAAAAAAGCTTATACAAATATACTTCTTTGATTAATATGATATTTAAAATAATTTCTATAATACTACCTACCTAGTCAAAAATAGCTGGAATTTTTGCATTCAATCATTAAATAATATTCGTTTTGCATATGAAATTATATTTTTTTCTGAATATCGACTGCTACAGCGCTAAAATATATCATTTATTTATTTTGAATTAAATGTGTTTAAGAATCCAACTATATGAATAATAGGCTGACAAAGTGTTTTGAGTATAATTTTTTCCATTGTATGTAGGAATAGAAAATGAAAAATTAACAACAATTACGATTTACAAGAATAACGAATAATAATGCAATAATTAGTGCTCAACACTATACAATAATATTTGATAGTAATTGTTAACTAAATCGGTACGTAAAATATAATTTAAAAATTGTTTAAAAATGGATCATGGTTGATTCTTAAAAATGTGTGTTATATTTATTTGACTAATTTAAATAATAAAATTAGTCAAGCAGTTAATCTCATAACTATTCGGTAAGTGAGAATACATAATATAAATAATATGGCATTTTATGTAAATTTCGGTGTTGGAAATAACAAACTCGGGACAATCAATATAATTATTTTAAGAACATTAAAATGTCTCAAGTTTTGTTTATACAATTTATTATGGGTTGCTTTCACGGCTTATAAAAAACTTCGCAGTCACACGCAATAGGCGCCCAAGATGAGATCCGCCCGCACAACGTGTTAAATCGAGTGACCACTATGTCATTACAATTTATGGTAATAACATTTTATGTACATTATACAGCGCCGTTACCTTATAGATGCCGTCTACGAGTTTGGTGATCTCCTCGGTCTCCATCGTCACTGCGCCGCTATGGCGATATCCAGTTAGAGTCGCACACACACACACACACACACACACACACACACACACAAACACGCGCGCACGCGAGATAAGTTCTGACGGGAACGAGTCGGGAAAGCAGACGGATACGCGCCGGCGAGATGAAGTCTGGAGTAGTGCGTAGGGCCACCGGCGTTTAGTCCGTGGCGCTAAGAAGAACACTGCAACTGTCCGCGACGGTCGCGGAAACGCGCATCGGCACGGCACGCGTCGTGCACGGATTTTCCGGGACGCGGGCTAGGGCGGAAAACCGTCGGACACGAGAACAATAATCGTTTTTGTGCGTATTTTACGAGCGCGCTGCAACAAGAGCGACGGGTTTTGTGACGTATCGTCACGCGGATTTTCTTTTATTATTGCCCGCGTTACAATGTATCGGTATCGTAGGACTGTGCCTGCGCGATGGTGAACGGCGTGCGCGAACGGTCACGTTGCCACTGACTACAATATTTATGCCACCGCAACGACTCGACACCGTAACGGCCGTTCTCCGCCGGATCGGTTACACGCGCGCGCCGGGTCTGCCCGCGAGACCGCTATCGTCGCCGTCCGTTGGGTAGGGACGCCGCCGCGCCGCCGGTGCCGGTGCCGGTGCCGCCGTTTTCTTAGCACGCGCGCTACCGCCTACGCGTAGGTACGGAGAAAACCGACGGTGTGCCTATATCGCTGTACGGGTGTACTATGACACGAGGTACATCAGTATACGACGTTGTTGTTATTGTTATAATTTATACGAAACCCGCCGACGATGATGTGGCCGCGACGTAGCGTACACACAATGCAATGTACCGTCTATTCATAACGTAATCAATGTACCTATATTTTGTATACAGAGTGATTCGCCGAGCAGGCTCACCTCCCCTTCCCCCTCAACCATCCCAATTTTTCCTTCCTTTAATAACGAATCTACTCCGCTTCTGATTTTCGGTATTTTTATAATATACTAGGCGATCATAATCTTTAGTTCTAGATTTTTCTATACCCCTTAAGGAATGCCATATTATTTATTGCGACGGCGATATAAACTTCTAGTTTTCAAACAAAAACCCCACATTTTTTTACAGAAAATTATTAGGTGGATAATTTTTTTTTTGTTGAAAATGTTCAATGCGCATATGAAACGAGTAGTTTTTCAGTTGTTAAAATATTTATACTAACGATAATATTTCTTAAAAATGACTACAAAAATATAAAATATCGGATCTAGTATTTATAAAATATTCTTGTACTACTTTTATGAATTATAAATTATTATAGATTAACATTGATTACAAAAATTTTCAAATAACCATAGGATTCACATTTTTTAAATTATGGACAAATTGAAGGCATCAGTGCAATAACAAGATATCTCCATTTTCCAAAACTTTTAAAAAGATACATAAAATTTAATTTTAAAATTCCCAATGACCAAATTTTTTTTAAATATTTAAAATTGTATTTTACATTGAAACCAAAAAATTGATAAAATTAAAAAAAAAAAAAATTAAATTTTTAGTTTGTACTTTATAGTGTTTTAAAGTCTCAAAATATAGAGCTGTCTGGTTTTTTGCTCTGAAATTTTGATCTTTTTTTTTTATTATTATTATTTAAGTGTATTAATTACCTGTGTTATATACTAAAAACAGACGAAATTGAGCATATTGTGTAATGTAGATGTTAATGAGTTAAAAAAAAATTATTTTTGCACAAAAATATCTTAATAAAAAGATAAAAATAAAAATATATTTGGGTGAAAAATTTTTATATTGTGGCCTTGATAAGAATATTTATGTAATATATGGTTATAAATTGTTATGAAAATAATATAAAAATTAAAATTAAAAATAAATCACAAACTAGATTTATAATAACAAAATAATCAAAACTAATAAATATATTTAGGTTAAAAATTAAAATATCATAATACTCCTATTTTATAACTAAATAATTTATAACAGTCTTATGATATTTAATGTAAAAAGTAAATCACATAATAATAATAAGTGGTAGATAACATTACTGTTTTAAAAGTATTTAGTAAATTATATAATATATAAGTAGGTGTATATTATCTTTGAAGAGTATAAAATAACAAATATAAAATATATGTGACAGACTTATATTATTTCCTGTAAATTTAATCACATTTATTCTTCAAACACAAATTTGAACAACTCAAAAACTATTTGTTCGAATTTTAATTTTGAAACGTCACTATTTTCAGAAAAATTATCCACTAAATAATTTTAATTTACTGTAAAAACAACGGGTTCTCACGTGAAAAACAGAAGTTTTTACCTTTACAGTACACTCCTACAAAAAGTTTCAAGAAATTGAAAATATGATTTAAAATATTAAAATATTCCAAGTATAGATATTTGAGTAATCGCATTATTGATTGAAAAAAAGTAGTATGCACGTATAGTTAATCATTCTGTATATAAATAAATGCAGTGTCCTTCAAGTGCCAATGACGACCACGGCATCATCACACGTACCTTGTATATTAGTATTATATACGCCATGATATTAAAATATAACATAATGTATCATTATTGTTGTTACTGTTATTGTTTAGCGGTAGCCATCATGATTATGTACCGGACCAGCAACGGACCATCAATATCATATCAATATTTTGACCGCTGCAGGCTGTGTGAAACTGATGCTTCCATAGATCATTTTTGTCATTTGTATCTATCCATATGCCATAAGACAACATCAGAGGTGGACTTGGTTAATTTGGTGCATACTACTTGCATCCAAAATTAATAATTATTATCAGTATAGGTGAGTTGCGTCCCGAAAAAAAGATTTAAAAAGGGTCATAGCCTATTTGCGTCTCGGTATACCTTTTTTTACGTCCCGAAACTATCCATGTAATCGATATCAATATGTTAATAAAAAAAAATTGATGTTTATTATAAAAGTTTCATAACATCATATTGTCATACCATTCATATCAACATACAAAATACGTATATTTTACATTTTTTCATGATAATAATTTTAGTTAATTTCAAATATAGTATAATATAATTTAAAAAAATAAATAATCCTTAATAAGAATAAAATACAAAAGATTACCGACGTAATTTCTATATCTTATCGAATCTATAACAACTAACAAGTTCTATTATATAAACATATTTCCCTACCATCTTCACATCACATAATACCCACATACAGGTTATAAATACAATACATCATAATGTACCTAATTATTATGATATACCACAATTATTGATGTAGATTAATTGTATCTACAAATCGAACTGTCCTCATCCCACAAATAGCAAACTAAAAATCAAATTGAAATAATACATAGGTATCGCTTTTATTTGATAGATCAGCCGGGGATACAAGTAATAGATAATTATTTAAGATAGAAAATTGATTTTAAACGTAAAATAATAATAATATAATAACGTATATCTACAATTTATAATACTTAAAGATGTAAGACAGACATTAAACTCGATTAAAAACAATTTAATTTTATGGTGTCATAGAGGAATCATCCATTGCATAATCTCCTCTTAATCCCAAATATAGCAGAAACGAATTAAAACAATATCAACATTTAAGTGTTGTTTTTTTTTTACTTTGGAGCATTACTGCACGCGTGTATAAAAAATAACATGGTTACAATGGACTAGTACGAATAAAAGTATTTTATAAAACATCCACATTAAGTAATAAACTGATAAGTTACCCTGTTTTTACTTTTTTTTATTATACACACAAACACCATCATATTATCATTATGATATATTATGAATGTGTAATATGATTAAGTATATACTTTTGTTTTTAGACACTAAATACTAACGCTCCTAGCATGAATGAATTAAACAGCTATAGCTATATAATGATACTGAAAATTACTATGTTCATTCCAACATAAAATGTAAACACTTATCGGCAAAAACAAAACGTATTCTTATTCTCACTTCAATCTACTAATGGTATCGAAAATACTACACATCAGGATTATACACCGTATACACGCTCTGTACCTTTAAGTATGTTATTTGCAAGATCATTTTATAAATGTTTTATTTTTTTAACGAAAATTTGCTACAGTGTCAACATTTAATATTGTTTATTCATCATAAAAAAATTAAAAAAACACAGACACATAATCGTATATGGTACATAATACATATAAATTATATATATATAGAGAGAGAAAGAGAGAGAGAGATAGATAATTAAAATAACTATTAAGTACAATTCTTAACCTAAGTTTTTTTGTTTTTAATATTAATATAATACGTTGTGTTTTATTGTTTTTTTTTTCATTTTTATTATGACGTTTTCAATTCGTGCTATCTCAAAAATATCATATTTCAAACGTATTATATTAAAAATAATATTCCCACTATAAAAAAATAAATACCTTGAATACTTTAATTGTGTAGAAATACTTCAAAATTTCCATCTTACTCCACAGATATTTCCCTTTATTCTTTGATTGTTAAATTATTTTTTTAACGAGTGTACAACAATACTTAATTGATATGAATAAAATATCGTATATTACTTTAATTAATTAACAGTTATTAGGTCACCTTGTTGACAAGATGGTTTATGTATTTTTGTATATTATATGATGATATATTAATATTTTAAGAATACAAAAATTAACAACTTATTTGTAACCTACTTGAAGTGTTCAAAAATATTAATATCAAAATTCCTAGACGTGATTTCAGTATAGCTTTCAAAATATTTAGATACTTTCTGAGCTATTTATAAACATTTTAAATAAATGACTATTGATTTATTTGATAATTTCTTGAATTAAAAAAACAGTTTAGCGTAAAACCTATTGTCGATTTTTTTTGATTTTTTTTTTTATATAACTATACCTATACCTAAATAACTTTAAATTTACATAGAAAATTGACTATCAACAATAGAAAATTATGCATTTTAGTTGTTTTCATATTTCATTCTGTCGATCCCTAATATTTGAAATACTATACATAAAATGACAACTGCAGTAGGTATACTAATTTACCTGCCGTCTGATTACTTTGATTAAACATTCAAAGTTATAAAACTTTATATGTAGGTACTATGATTGAAAATTTTTTATTTCTACTTTTAATATAATAACATGCAATATATTTTTCCTATAAATTAGCCTCTTCATAAATATATATTAGTACTTATATCTACTTAATAAATAAAAATGTTATTTTAGGTAAAACTAAATATTTCAACTTAAGATTTTATTACAGCTGCTGTAATATAATAACTATAACGTCACTACAGGCTGCAGTTTTTCTCGCCGCTAATTTTTTGTAAATAGTATGATACACGAATCATATATATATAGAATTATAAGAAATATTTGTAACAAACCATAATCATATTCAGTATTTTAAACAAATAATGGATTTATAATATGCTTAAAAATAAAACTAAATTTGAAAAATTAAAAAATAATAACCATACAAT